GCATACTCTCTCCCTACATAGTCTATTATTTACTAAAATATGTTAAACCATCTGCATACTAATTGTATCGTCTCGGTAAGCCTTTAAAATTAATGAAGATATAACACTTACCGTAAAACCGATGCCGACAGTAGCGGAGAAGTTGCCAGGCTGGAATTTCCCGGTCTCGAATTGAACCAGCAACGACGTCTTACCCACGCCGCTGTCTCCAAGCAAAATTGTCTGGAATTATATTGACTATTACATATTAAACTAAAAGACGATGAGATGATACTACAATAATCTTAGAGATACACTAAATATTATTTATTGTAAAAACTTAAAATATAAGTGAGTTAAAAGCAATTGATATGACATATTGTTAATTTAATTATTCAACTACTCACCTGTAAATAAAAGTGATCATAGTAACGGACCCAGAAATATGTTCGCCCCATGCCCCCAAGTGGGTAGCGTGATTTCACCGTAATGAACGTACACTAAGTCAATCTTTCTAATAGAAAGAAGGTCTATTTTATTATAGCTAGTTTGTTTTATAAGCGCATTCAAACAAACAAACAAACCAACAAACTCTTCAGCTTTATATATTAGTATGGATAAATACAAGACCAACTGATCTGACTTTACGTATCAATGTTTACAATTTCTAATCGTTAAAAATTCTACTTGAAAAGTCGAAAAGTTTATAACTTGGTGGCGTCAAGATTTCTTCATGAACAATAATTGCGATCTCTTCATTTTATAAACATAATGGGGATACACAACAAAGGGAAACTTTGTGATCTTTTCGGGTGCTTCATTATTCAAAGTGTACCGAGATTCAAAACACAACAACACATTAACTATGCTTATAATGAAATTTTGTATACAACTAAAAAATTATATACGATTAGAACACTTTAACGATTTAAGACGCGATATGTTTTAGTTAAACTTGTTTGAAGATAATTTTTAACTGCGGCTCGACGTCACCCCGTGACCACGGCTGCTGCAAAGCATCCGAAATGTTTTCAAACAAGTTTAATTAAATATATATTCCGTTTCAAACCGTTAAAGTGTTTTATTTAAATGTGTACTACTCGCGTACTAAACTATAGACAGTATTTATATACGATTGTTCTAATATAATTAAACAAAAACGGACTTGTGTGCGCGAGGTATGTTATGACAGTAACGGATTGACAGATATTGAAATAATTTTGTGTCAATATAGCTTCCTAGAATAACTTGAAGACCTTTTGTTTAAAATGTTTCTGTATGATTAATTAGAAATTTTCTATTTTAGTGGAATGTGAACGTAAATTTAATTACATTATTTTCTTTTTATCACAGAAAGTAATCGTAGTTTGTTACTTTTAATTATATTTCAATAACTGCATATCTTATAGGAAAGCTCCTGCATGTTTTTAGTTACAGGTATGAAGATAATAACAACCCAATTTGCATCTTATCTTAATTTAAATAAGTTTCATATCGCTTTGTAGAGAGCCCGTCTTAGCTGGTGTTATGGTATTCGTGGACAAAACACCCCAGTCCATCGTATTGAATACAAAACAATACAATCGGGAAATCAATTAAACTTAGGTATAATACCTATTAGTATTAATTATTGCAGAGAGACAAAGAATTATTAAAGATAATGAAATCTTGGTTTTCTACTGAAGATAAGATATTATAAAGGCTTTACGTTTTTATACTTCATTGTAAAGTTTATTAAATGTAATGTCATTTAAATTAAACTCTTCAAACGGTCTAAAACTAAAAATATATTACTCATTTTACGACGTATTGGATGCCGTGTTAGATCGCGTTTTAAACTGTTAATAGCGTTGTAATGTGTCCTGTGTTTGTGTAAACTACAGATAATACTTGTAGAGAATCTGTTTCAACAGTAGATAGATAGAATTAGGTGTTTTAAATTATTTTATTACTAGATACCTGGTTCTGATGTCCTGAGTTCGAATCCTTATAATTATAAAAATAATTTATTCGCGTGTTGTTTACCTTGTGTAAAGGAATGTCGTCGTCTACAGGCGCGCGCGCAGGAGAATCAATAGGCCGATAATCTCGATATCCTGTCGGGGATGGAGTAGTTCGTTGTGTTGGTGCACGGAGCTCGTCTTCGAACACATCGTCGCTCATGCTGTCATCTGTTCCCACGTGCTGTACATGACATAAGTAAAATTGTGTGATAATTATTCAAAATGTATCTTCATATTATCTAATAGCTGGAGCCGCGACTTCAAAATTTGTTTTTGCAAACCTCTACATTTTTATAAATGCAAGCTGTTCATTTGTCATTTGTTAATTTGAGTCGTTCGTGTCCCGTCATTCTTAAAAGGTTATTTTAAAAGATAGACATATAGTCTAAAGAAGAATCATTCTTTCATACATATTATTTGTATGTCTTGAATCGTTTTCGCAGGGCGTCACAGGGCCATGTTTTATAGCCTATAGCCTTCCTCGATAAATGCTCTAACTAACGAACAATTGGAACCCGTAGTTCCTGAGATTAGCGCGTTCATACAAAAAAACAAACTCTTCAGCTTTATATATTAGTACAAATTGTAACGCTAAAGAGTTAGTTTATTTGAACGTTCTAATCTGAGGAACTACTTGTTCGAATATAAATCATTGTTGTGATAGAGAGAGACCATTATCGAGGAAGCCTTTAGGGAATATAACATCACGATGTAGGAGCAAAGAAGAGTGAAAAATGTGGAAAAAAAACAGGAAAAAATATTCATCTATAAGAGCTTCCGTTGCTTGCACTGCGAAAACGGTTCAAAAAACCAAAAAATAAATGAAAAATAATGATTTCATTTTAAATGATCTACAAAAATGTTTGCGACAGTATATGTCTATCTTTTCAGATTAACTTGCAAGGACGATGTCGTGGGTAACAGCTAGAATTTATAAAGCCGAGGAGATTGCTACAATTGCTAAAACACTACTACAGAGAAATTGCTAAAATAACTACTCTACGCGGACGAAGTCGCGAGCTTAGCTTCATAAGGTTAGTTTCATATGTGTACAAAGTATTCAATATTCATATCTAACATTATTATGGAGACAATATTAAAAGACAATGATATTAAAATACCGGAAAACACAATATCTAGCCTAAGGGATTTTTAAAGAAACTTACTTTACAAACTAATGCACGCTTTTAGTGTTATATTGATCGCTTTTTATTCGCTCGGGCTTAAAACATAGTACTTCTCTCGTATATCGCGAAGCTAACCATTGAGCTATGGGGGTAATAACATTTTAAGGATTAAAAAAAAAGTAAGGTAATGCTCGTTTAAGAATATTTTACATTTTTAATTACAGAGGGCAAATGAAAAGATTACAATAAATAAAAAATACGTCTGCATATTAAATTTACAAAGGCCCTTTGAAGTAGGTACGAATATTTGACGTTTATTTTTATAAGCTCATGATCAGCCTCTGTAAAAATGTAAAGGCTTTCTGAACAGAATGGTTAATGACTTTGAACCTAGGTCACGAGGTTTACTACCTTTAAAGTGGATATTATCTTAATGAAACATTTAAAGTTCCTTTGAAACGCTCATTAAGGTATTCTTTAAAATAAAACACTTTAACGGTTTAAAACGCGACATATATTGGTTAAACTTATTTGAAAATTATTTTAACTACGGCTCGACGTTTCGGATGCTTTTCACTAGCCGTGGACACGTAACGTCGAGCCGTAATTAAAATAAGTTTAACTAATATATATCGCGTTTTAACTGTTTAAAATATTATTTAAACTTGTAGGTACTACTCGCGTAAGCTACATTTCAATGATATAATTTTAACTGTTTATAACACGAAATATAGATCACTTATTTTTAACTACTACGTCTTGGATGCTTTGCAGCAACCGTGGTCACGAGAGATTGAAGTTGGAGGGGGTCCCTAATGTCAAAGTCAAATTTACTACGCTAGCGCCATCTGTTTCATCGTAGTTGATATTTTCTTTAAATGTATCAAATAAGTAATATATTTTTCTTTTAACACAATTTTATTAAAATACATTTTATTTTACCAAGTTTTACAAAGTACTTACATATGGATGGAACAATAATCAAGTTAAAAATAAATGGGCTTACGCCATCAAACCTATCAGCCAATGTTGAACATCAAAGGAATGTCTGGGCCACAGGATAGAGAAACGACCAACTAAGTAATGAAACATGGACATTTATTTGTCATTCGAAACAGACACGTATTTCTTCGTTCTAAGTGTCAATATAGCTTGTGTGCTTTCAGATCTTTTTAATGGTTCGGTGTAATTGTAAATCCATCAATTACAGTGTTATTTGGTTCAATCCATATGAGGATATACATGTGTAAAATATATATTTATTTATTTCTGCACTGATAAAGAAGAAAAAGTGTTATTATAACCTTAATTTGTTTTTAAGGGAATAAGGAAGTAATAATACTTACATTTTTACTTCCTTATAATTTTAATTATTTCTTTCTGGAGTTATCTTTTTATAACGTAGATAAATCAATTGTCTACATCTAACGCGTGTTTATTTTCCCGATATAGATAAGTATTGTAATTTAATTAAAAAATAACCTCATTTTCCCAATAATAATACAACAATAATCTAATTTTCCTATCGTTGTGTTTTAATATATTTCAATAGATAAATAAGATAGACATGCTTTCGTTACATTTCGTATACAGAATTGATAAAACTCATAAACAAATGACACATATGGAAAATCCTTTTCATGGTAAAATAGCTGAGTAATAATGCACCTATTATGTTGTACCTATACTAATATTATAAAGCCGAAGAGTTTGTTTGTTTGTTTAAATGCGCTAATCTCAGAAACTACTGTTTCTATGATCTTTGAGGGTTTCGTTGCGTACGTTGCGAAAATTCAACAAAATATATACGAAGCAATGATTTCTCTTTAAATGATGTAAACAGTTCACGATTAAAGCATTTGGTCGAAATAAATGCATTATTAACAATTGTTTCTTAGAGCTATATCAACATAATATGAATCTCGCAAACAACAAAACAACATTTGTCGGATCAGCTAACGTACAATATATATATTATCATAAATACTTCTTTTAAATTGCTTCCATTCATTTCCCTAGTAAATATGCATACTTACAGACTTGTCCCTTCATAAGTGGGGGTCTTATCTAAACATGGAAACCCGACCCTTCCGCTAAAGCTATGACGTGTAGTCACGTATCCATTTAAGTGTTGGCAATGCTTATTTCTGGTGGAAACAGATTAGAATTGCCTGGTTTTAGAGAGGTTTTGAGATATAACTATACGTGCATACTATTTTTATAATGGGTCTGACAAGCTTGGGGTATATTTGATGGAAGGAGGAAATATATCAGCCATATAATAGTAAAAACTGTTCACGTCTAGATTTCTGTAAATTTATGTAACAGTTCGTGACATTTACGGGCCACGAACCTAGATTCAGACTGTGCCGGGTTGTTTTACCAACTGAGCAATTGAGCAACTTACGCAACGTCACGATTTGTTGGCGGTCGTAGGTTTTTAAAACTATTAATAACGTTATACAAACCCTTACGAACATATAAACTTTAAAATGATGTCCATTAACTAAAAATTAACCTTAGCCTTTAAGCTTTACAAAATAATAGACACCAATGTAATGTAAAAAACTTATACTAAATAATAAAAAAATTTGTCCGAGAAAATTCTAAAAAATCGATCTTAAAATAAATGTTTTAAGTCTAAAATAAGCGAAACACTTTTCCACAGATAACTTTTTCTCCACAGATAAAGAACTTATAATGTCTACCTAACTCAATTATGGAAATAGGCTTATCTCTTTACAGTCCCGTCTTCCAGCTTATATCCTAATATCAAAAAGCTCATATTTCACGAGTAGGAGAAAATATAGAGCGATACTTTATTAAAAGCTCTTAGCTTTGTATCGCTTCCCTTTGAGGTGTATCCTTTGATGTCGATTTATTGAGATTATTAGCTATATTAAACTGCGAAATCTCTGGCGATGGCACAAAACCCAATAATGTAAATTTAGATATAGTACTTTTATAGTCCTGGTTTAAACTTTTAATGTAAACAATATGACAGAGAACGACTGGGAAGCGTGGGATAGATATGAAATACTCCAGCCAATTAACATTTAAACAACTATTTCGGTGATTAAATATTATAATATGGTTCTATTCACTTAATTCAGTAATCACACCTAAGTGCATATCCAAATCAAATAAGTTGGTAAATCGGTTACAACATACATACATTAACTTGTGTGCAACTCCGATTCAGTTTTAACATTCGGATACCTAAATACTGTCTATAGTTTACGCGAGTAGTACACATTTAAATAAAACACTTTAACGGTTTAAAACGCGATATATTAGATTTTCAAATAAGTTTAACTAATATATCGCGTTTTAAACCGTTAAAGTGTTTTATTTAAATTCGGATACCTACTGATTGATACGTAACGCAAAATTACGGTTTTTCAATTTTTCAGGCATGATACATGAACCAGATGGAATATTCCTACCACACATTTTGATCTTCTAAATTTTCCTGAAGAGATTTAATGCGGGTATTGAACTTTTTTGAATTGAGACGAAAGAATAAGCCCAATAATTTCACTAATTTATAAAACTACAGACAATATTCAATACTATTATTATTTATAAAATATGTAACAAGTTCTAGTTTTAACGTTTTTATCTATATAATATTTTCTGATATTAGCGCCATCTGTCTTATAAATCGTACATTACTGAAGCGTGCATATTACAAAAAGGTCGCTTTTTATATGATAAAATTATTGCCATCGTAACTCAATTTAAAAATAAAGGAAAGTTCTTGATTAACTCTAAATTCTGTTTAATAATAGCTTTATTTATTCTACAGTTTAATAGATGAACATGCTAAATATCAATATTTAAAATAATTAAGTCGTAAAATTCGAATTAAAATCTATTTTCTTCGAAATTTATAATCCTACATAGACTTTATAAAATGTAATAACATGTGGAATCACTAAAGTTTTCAAAGTATGTTTACTATAACTCGCAAATTATGTGAAATATCATATGCGAAACTAGTGACAAAAGTCGACATATATCATATATATCG